AGAGTCAGAATTTAAGAGACGATTAAGAATTTGTTTGGTTTTTGAGAAGAAATTCATATAAATGCAGGTATGTTTGAATAGTTATAAAAGCAAAAGAGAGGCTTTCATGTGTTGTGGGGTCCATGGTTCTGTTCTGGAGGATGGGGATTCACGTAGGTAAGCATATTTGCAAAGGAGACCCCCAAGAAAACGTGCAAGTTTTATCCTTGTGAAGGGAAATGGATGACATTACTGGTTGGTATTTCCTATGTCAGCCAATTTCTCTGACCCATATCCATTATGTTAGCGTTCTTTTCTAGCACACTGGATTAAAATCTGGACCACGTGTGCTTAACTTCATCCATTATTCATAAACCTTGATTGCTTCTGACATTAGTATATGAACAAGGAGGTCTAGAAGATATTCCATGCCTTGTGTAATTATTGAAATTTCCTGTTTATCATTTAGGTACATTTTCTAACAATTGCAGCCTTATTGCTTCAGGATAGATATATGATCAACAATTCTTTGTAGAGACAAACAGTACAGTGTGCTCAGGCAAACTGTGTTTTTTGACCTGGCACCAGCCCCCCAATTCATATTGATTATCTTCAGCATCTGTAATGAAATGGAGTCCGAGGGTAAACTCAGGGCTTGGTGGGGGTGTTGTTTGTCTTACAGAGCAAACACTTGAAGCAGGATTTATGGAAGCAGAGGGCTGTGGGTCAATAGTTAAAAAAAAAAGCTTCAAATGTAAACAGGCAAGGTACTTTCTGAGCTGTGAAGGAGACAAGAAAGGAGACTGATGGGGTGGGGAGGGTGGGGAGCAGGAAGATAATTGTAGATTGGTTTTGTAAAATAGTCCACATCTGAAAGGAATTAAGAGAGAAGTGAGTCCGAGAAAGGCCAATTCTCCTCCAACTCCAACTCTGGAGACCCCTTCTTCCCCATTTCCTGACAGGGATTGCACAGTAAACATTTCTCTCAAAAGTCTCCCATATTCTCTTCTTAGCTGGTGTTCTAGACCACTGAAACTGGAATCAGTGTGTTAAATACCAGGGACAGTACACAAATAATTCATGGACACATACAGTGATTGGCTTTTGTTGCTATCATAATTCAATGAGGAAAGCCCAGGGTATCTGAGCTCAAAGCAACTGCAAGTGTTTGCTCAGTGCAAAGTCACACCCCAGCCTGAAGAAGATGCAATTCTGCCACAGCCCAGTCTCACCAAATGTCTTTTGAGGATCAAAGGTTCTAAGGCTAAGTTCTGTGTGGTAATTTTAATCTCCTCAAAGTGTTCCTTGTTTATTTTTTCTCCAGGTAAGTCTTCAAAAGAGTCAAACTAATATTAAACACAGTAGAGGGACTGGAATTATACATGATACCCCAAGACCAAGTTCTCAGCACCAAGGGATTTATTTGCCCCAGAGGGCAGGGAATAAGAGACAAAGACAGGAGATAGAGGAGGGGAGAGAAGGGAAAGGGAGGGAGGGAGATGGGGAAGGAGTATTTGTTCCACAAAGACAAAGGACTGCCTCTGGATAGAGAGAAGACAGACAGGGCCTAAAGAAAAATGGCAGTTTATAAAGCTAAAAGGGGAAGCCCCAAGTTAGGATGAGTTGTTTTGTTTTGACTGGATATGTTAATTAGGGCAGTCAAAGGGGAGCTTTTGATTGCTGGACTTCAGTACTTTGATAGCTGGACTTTGGTAGTAAACCTCAGGAGGAGGAAATGACCAAAGAAGGGAATAGACCTTGGTGACTAGCTTTAGCAATATAATTTAATGGTTTTTCACAAGACAGAGGGAATGGGGGAGGAAGTCAAGGCCTGCCAGATATATGTTTGCCATGCTTGGGCTAGCTAGAGTCCCTTCACATAGTTTTATAGACTAAAATCCAAATCTCAGTATTTAAAGAATTTCTGGATTTAAAATCCAGAAAAAAAGAAATAAAAATATCTCCAGTTGAGTCAGGCAAGGTTTCAGGATTTGGGAAGATTCCAAGGCCAGGTTCCTCCTCCCTGACCTTAGTACATCAAGACAGCCTTTTTCAAATAGGCAAGCCTTGTTATCAATGACCTTACATCACAAATAGGGAACAGAAAGGCATTGTCTTTGGTTCTCTAGCAAGACAGAAACTCTAGGCTACATTCAGGGAAATCTCCCCATATCTTTTGTTTGTTTGTTTTGTTTTGTTCTTTGAGGCAGGGTTTCTCTGCATAGTCCTGGCTCCCTGGAACTCACTTTGTAGACCAGGCTGGCCTCAAATTCACTAGATCTGCCTGCCTCTACCTCCCAAGTGCTGGGATTAAAGGCATGTACCACTTAGGATTTCATTAAGGACAATTATATTCTCACTCTTGCTGACTCCTGCCCTCCCTCCCTCATTCTACTGCCTGCCCTTTTTTGTCCTTTCAGATTCCAGGAGACCTGTTTAGTTTAATTTCTGGCTCGTCTGGTATCTGAGATATTGTTTGTGTACATGTACATTTTATTAAAACTTTATTATAAAGAAAATGTAAACAAAAGACATCATGCACTAAAATCAATCAGACCCAAAGTCCATCTGTCTCAAGAGAATGTGTATTCAGTTAGAACAGCTGTTCTGAAGCTGGGCAGCTTCTTGTTAGACTTCACTGCTGTAGGATAATGCTCTTGTACACTGTAAAGATTTGTCACTCATATAGTTTAATAAAATGCTGTTTGACCAGTAGCCAGACAGGAAGTATAGGTGGGGAGACCAGACTAAGAGAGCCCAGCTAGCTCAGTAAGTAGAGCATGATGCTCTTAATCTCAGGGTCATGGGTTTGAGCCCCACATTGGGCATCATTTGTAGATGGACATTTCTATCCCATCTGGTTCCACAGCCATTCAGTCACAAAGAAACACACAGAGGCTTATATTAATTATAAACTGTATGGCTTATTGACTCAGGCTTATTATTAATTAGCTCTTACAACTTAAATTAACCCATAATTCTTTTCTATGTTTAGCCATGTGGCTTGGTACCTTTTCTCAGGAAGGCATTCTTATCTTGCTTCCTCTGTGTCTGGCTAGTGACTGCCTTTCCACTTCCCAGAATTCTCCTAGTCTGGTCACCCTGCCTACACTTCCTGCTTGGCTACAGGTCAATTGGCATTTTATTTAACCAATACAAGTGACAAATCTTTACAGTGTACAAGACCATTATACCACAAATACCACATTTACCATGGAGGTATTTTTGGTGGTACACGAATATGTTAAATAGTATCTGCAGTTTAATGATACTCCAATTAAGATGTTTATTTAAATTCTACATCTAGATAAGGAAACCATGACTCATATTTGAAAAAAATCAATAGTTTGGTAGTATCTCCTAGGAAGTGTGGTTAAGCCATTAGATGAAATATAAAAAGCAATTATTTTTTAATTTTCAAGAGCACCATGACATTCAGGTATAAGACATTATAATAGAAGCAGGCAAAACAGGCCAGGGGGTAGAAAGGCAGTTACCATCAAAGCTAATGCTCCTGAGTTCTACCACTGGAACCTAAAAGATGGAAGGTCAGAACTGACCTTGTTCATTATTATTCTGCCTCACAAGGGCCCACACTCATATACACACAGAGACAAGAATGAACAAATGAATAAATAAATAAATAAATGTAAAAAATAGAAAATGTTTTTTGTAATATTGTATTACCAGTTTTGGTATCAGTTTATACAATGCATTTTCTAGCTTCTGGCACATTTACCATCATTCTTTCATTGTTCGCAAGCAGTTTTTAAGAACATAAGCATTAAAACCGAAGTTCATGTAGTAATATAAGTGAATAAAGTCACAGACAATTTGAGGGGAACAAGTTTAAAAGCTAACTATGAACACTGATTGCTAAATTCATCATTTTCAGATTCATAGATACAGAGCTATCTGCTGTACAACAATGTCCAACAAGATGGCAGTCACTGTCTAGTCAGCATAGCATAGATATGCTATCAGGCCTCATGAAGATAGACTCAGAAGAATACATGAACTATTTTAAGATGATATTCTTCAGAGAACCAGATATGCTGATGATGGTATCACACCATGGAGATCAGTCTCAGATTGAATTGGATAAGAAATGGGTATTATTTCTAAATTTGACCTATTAACTTCAACAATTCGAACTCCCAAGAATTTCCTAATGCCTAAGATGATATGATGGAACTTGAAGAGCGTGGACCACTCTCTGTTTCCATGCCTACCTTATATCAGACAGCATACAGACACTGTGAGGCTGTCTATGAAAGATGCAAATATTTACTTGCTGATGCTTCCAGCATTTATTCCTTGGCATCAAATCTAAGACTATACATGTACATGTGTATGCACACACATGTAAACATACACACATAGGGGTGAAAGGCTTCTATTTTTAAAACCATCTTTCAATAACACAATTTGAACTCATCTGCTGGTATCTTCAACACTATAACGTTGTTTTGAAGTCATGGCACACAGATGTGCCTCTATTGGCAGCAAGTGTCCAGTGTGGAAGCCACACCATCAGTGCCGAACATTCTTCTTGTTATGTAATCACTTAATTAACTACAGATTTCTTTCCCTCACAAGCCAACCTCAAGGTTTATGTTAAGGCTGTGACTGCCCTCTACAGAACTTCAAACAGCCACTTCCTCTTTCGTCCCACTGACAGAGACTTTGTGTTCTGACAACTAATACCTCATCTTGGTAGATACAGCTCACTGTCGTCAGATGTGAATACTGTGTCCCCTTCTTGATCCAATTGTACAGCATAAGGAAAGACAGGTATAACATAGTTTTTCTAGTTTTATCCAGTCCAACAGTGCTATGTTCAATGTTTAAGTATTCATTATGGATTTCTCTTATGTTTTCTTTGGTTTTGCTAAGATAATTAGCAGGGAAAAGGTATGGATAGAAACATACTGACCTAAACAATTTCATTTTGCATCTATACAAAACGCCAGAACGCGGTAACATTTTCTGTCCTTTGTGGTTATGTCTTTAAATCTTACCACGGCAAGCAAATGTGAAAATCCTTAAATTGCTCTCCTCAGAGTTCCCATGTCAACTGGCATCTGCTCAGGTTGGAGATCCTGCCAAAAGTCAAAGGAAAACATTTATGAGACAGAGCCTGATGGCTGATTATTTAATCCTCTGTGTCCAGCACTGCCAGCAAGCATGGGCTGTGAATGCCTGCTGCTGGTTTAATAATAAGCCCTCTTACATACAGCTGAATGCAGTGTACCAATGGATGCTTCCCCCTGCTCTAATAAGAGACCGATTATTGATCTTCACCTAGATGTTCCCATTGAGACCAGGCATTCATGAATACAAACAGAAAAGAAAAATGGCACAATGCATAATTAGCTTTAATAAATAGGGGCATAATTTCTATGGAGAAAATGGTGGTCAATCTAATTTTAATGAGGACAAACAGGCTTTTGCTTAATAGTGCATAAGAGGTATAAGGTCTCAAATATATTCAACAGCCAAACTAAACAGCAGCCTCCAACTTCTGTTTCTCCCTTTGGGATAAAACTTTAGAGGCTGGGGTGGACTACCTTCTGACCACACTACTAGAAGAGAAAAATATACACCCAGAAGTGGAACAGAGAAACAAAATGAAGATGAGTCTATAGGGAAACCTGAACGTGGGAAGGATGGTGGGGAGGAATTGAATTAATGTTCAATCAGCTCTTGGAAAATAATTAAAAGACTAGAGATGCCTTAGGTTAACAAAAAATAAATAAAAGGATGACTCAAAGCCCAGAAAGATAGCCCAGTGGGTAAGTTGCCTTCCACAGAAGCATGAGGACAAGTGTTTGATTCCCAGTACCCAGAGAATGGCTGGGCATGATGCATGACTATAACCCTGGTGCTGGAGGAAGGGACAAAGACAGACTTACTCAACATCCTAGCCAATCTATGAGGATTATGTCTAGCAAAGAACCCTTGTTTCATCAAAAAGAATGCAGAGAGCAATTGAGAATGATAGCCCACCTAGACATATACCCTCCCACACACACATTATAAGCACAAGCCTACAGCAGGAGCATTCACAGACATGTCCACACAGTTTTCCACTACACAAAAACACATGCACATGCCCTCCCCATGAGCATATATGTAAACAAATCTCCATACACCACACACACACACACACACACACACACACTATTCATTGAGAGTCTCTGGGGTCTGTCAGTTACACTCTGAAGTTCCAAGTCATTATCTTATTAGAAGGTACATAGGACAGGACTGAATTGTTCATGCATCTGAATTATCTAGTTGTTGCTCTGAGATGACAGATAATTTGTTGCCTTGTTTGACACAGATGAAATATGCACACACACACATATACATACATACATAAACCATACAAGATGTTTTAAAATTAGATCAAGTCACATGTAGCCCTTCTGATATAGACTGTGTTTTAAAATCATATCTTCATGTTAACTTCCTGATGGGAAGAGAAGACAAGCCTTATATCTACCATCTGCTGGGTTTTTTTTTTTTTTGTGAAGAATGTACTTGATATTTTACTTTTTAAGATAAAGAAAATGGGTCATTATTAAGGATGATAGTTTTCATTTGTGGGTTTGGCAGAGTTTGTAAAACTGTAGGTTCTTGAAGCTTTCCTTCCTAACGATTCTTAGTCAGGAAACTGGGATGGTTTCAAGATCAGGCCATCCTGTTTCCCCTCACCCAGAGAACCAGCTAAAAACTAAACAATAGAGGCCACATTGACATCCATTAGAAGGAAAACACCTTTCAGTGTTAGCTGGTGCCTTGTGTTCGCTGATTCTACCATCAAGCAGAAGTGCTTGTTAGAGGCAACAGCTGTGGTATTTAAAAGAAAACTCACTTTTTAAGACTCAGGAACCGCCATCAACAAAATAGGTAGGATTTGTGTGGATGGGGAAGATTGCCTCACACTTGTTTCCATTGTGTTTGGAATAAATGGCATTATTAAATCCAGGAAGCCTGACACAAACACTCTACAATGTTTTGCAAAAGGGGTCGAATCGTCTACTTAGAGAGTTTGCAAAGGTCATGTGTTTATTGTATAGTACATTTGCCTCCCATCTTATTGAATACACCAGAAGACTCAACCTCGCATCAGACTTGTGAGTGGAATCTTCTCTACAAAGAACTAAGCAGCCTTTGACCTCAGGGAACTGGCTGCAGTCTTGTTGCTGCTTCTCACTGACTTTTCAGCCTTAGACAAATCAGTCTTCATCTACCACCCACTTTTCCCTTCTATGAAATCAGAACACTAATCTAGGAAATGCTGAGTATTCTTTCAGCTCCGGCATCCTTAGAAATGCTGAGAAAATGGGGTGTGGAACTGGACAGTATCTCTAACTTGACATGTGCTTTTGGCTAATGTTATGGGGAAGGAAGTGAAGTCCAGAAAGCCATGGCACTGAAGTAAGACCAAAGGTTGGATCCAGAATTTCAGCTCATATATCAATGCATGCTTCACTCTAACCCACAATAAGTTTGCACAGCTCTATTCCCAGCGCACACTTGCTCACTGACCAAGGAGCATTCCTGGCAGGCTTTTCCTTCCTTGGCTGAGAGAGAGATTCAGTGCATCCTTTGGGGCTCTCTCTCAGATTTTCTCAGGGAGAGAACATATGTCCTGGTCCCAGGAGGATCCTTCTCCCACACTCACAGCTGCACAACACATGAGAAGAAGTTATGTACAAACTTAAAACATGCTCAGTGTTAATGAAAATGCACTGGGGACCTTCAGATGCGTTCCAGGCCATTTCTATTATCAAAATATTGCTAGGTTATCTTCTGGACCCTTCCCTGGACTCAGACATTAGTATTTTGAATTCACCACAGATCCTCATTTAGTTGTCTAAAGGTCAATAATTGGCGAGAGCACCTTGCAAGAACAGCAGGCACCCCTTGATTTCCAGTCTTATGGGGATCTGTGGGTGTATACTGGAGTGAATAAGGGGCACACACTCCTCAAGGGACAGGCTCGTGTTCCCTCAGTTGTCCTCTTTGGAGTTTTCAAGCAGGCCAGGAGTGTATTTGTTGTCTTTGCATAAATCAGTTTATCCAAATCGCTTTGCTGTGTCTTTTTGAATTTTCTCGACACTTCTTTGCTTATCAAGGCATCACTTGCCCACTCTCCAAGTACTGTTTTTATCCTGCTGACATAAAGGATGTACATAACAAGGCTTTTATTTATCTCACAGTGTTGAAAGTAGAACAATTTTACATGACAACTGGTGCCCAATAGTCCAAATCAATTAGCTTCGCTTTAGTTTATAGGTAAGGAAAGGTTTATCCAAAAAGAAGCTGGAAAGTGGTTAATGAAAAGAGTTTCGAATCAAAGGAAGCTAGAGCAGATTGAATCTTTCGATTTGTTGAGTCTTCCATTTGCAAGACACTGATTTAAAAATTCCATGTATACACACATATACAATATCATGCTGTAATATTACATTCAATTTTCAGAAAACCCTACTCAGCAGATAAGTTATTGTTCCCAGTTTACAGACACAGTAAGTAATCCTCGGAGAGCGTAAGTAACTAATAAGGTCAAATAGCTCCCACTGGTGATTAGCAGAGGTCATGCTCAATCCACCCCAGAGTTTCTGCACATGGCAGAATGCAGCAAAGGGTTTCTTACCCATCACCCCTTACCACTTTGTGTCTGAGTAGCAGGTACAGAAAGAGAGTGGGTTGATCCAGGCCATTCTATTGATAGACAGCAGGCCCATGACAGCTTGGACACAACCCCACTCACTGCCCTACTTACAGGAACTATCCTTCCTTCCATTTTTGTGGAATGAGAGCACCGAGGATTGAATGAATCTTTCAGCATCCGAGCAGGGGACCGGACAGACAGACTTTGCTAACTATGTCAGATCGTTTAGCTCCAGCAGTGATTATAACTCAGTGGTTGGAAAATGTGAAAGTCTGGTTTGCCACAGTAGACTCCCACTTTCCTCCAATCTTATGCACCTCCCATGAGGTACGTGGTGTCTTCTCCTATTAAGAAGGTGGACAGGAATGGGGATGATGAATGAGCGAACCTGCCCCCTATGGAACAGAAACAGTTCTGTCCCCACGAGTGAACATTTCCCAAATACTCTCATAACAATGACGATCTAATTCTATTTTAAATGACAGTAATTCACCATATTCTATGCTTATTTGGTTAGTTTTTACCTTAGCAGAAGGAGAGAGAGCACGAGCAAGGAACTCAGGACCGCGAGGGGTACACCCACTGAGACAATGGGGATATTCTATCGGGAACTCACCAAGGCCAGGTGGCCTGGATCTGAAAAAGCCTGGGATAAAACCAGACTCGCTGAACATAGCGGACAATGAGGACTACTGAGAACTCAAGAACAATGGCAATGGGTTTTTGATCCTACTGCACATACTGGCTTTGTGGGAGCCTAGGCAGTTTGGATGCTCACCTTCCTAGACCTGGATGGAGGTGGGTGGTCCTTGGACTTCCCACAGGGCAGGGAACCCTGATTGCTCTTTGGGCTGACGAGGGAGGGGGACTTGATTGGGGGGGGGAATGGGAGGTGGTGGAGGGGAAGAGACAGAAATCTTTAATAAATAGATTAATTAAAATAAAATAAATAAAAATTAAAAAAAAGTTTATGTACTTTTGTCAAGCACCATAACAACAACCACAAAACTAAATAGGATGGCATAGCCTTCACTTTAAAATAGCAGTTATGTTGAATTTTATTTTAATTTTGGTAGGTTTTGTTTTGTTTTGTAATGACCAACAGAAGAGAGCTCATATGCAAAGTGGGCAGTGTAACCTCCTGACAGAGACAGGAAGTTGTTCCTCAGTGTCTACCATAGATGGGTTCCAGCAGCACCTACAGATTCCTAACTCTGGATGTCAGGTCCCTTAGATTTGAGCATAACCTATATGAATATTATAGATATATTTGAGCATCACCTCCTGCATATTGTAAACCATGTACAGGTTACTTATAATACATAAAACCATGCAAGTGCTGATAAACATTCATTCAAATGCTGACATGTCCAGTAGAGAAGCACTTTTTCATGTATTCCCAATGGTTGCTTGAGCATA